GGGCTCAGGCAATCCACTCACCTCAGCCTCCCAAAGGCGAGGGATGACAGGCTGAGCCACTGAGCCCGGCTACACCTAATTTTTTAAATTTTTGTAGAGATAATGTCTTGCTATGTTTCCCAGGCTGGCCTCGAACTCCTGGGTTCAAGCAATCCTCCTGCCTCAGCCTCCCAACGTTCTGGGATTCCTGGCGTGAGCCTCCTTGCTCGGCCACCTAGCCCTTCTTTGCTGCCTTCCTAGACGGCCAAGGAGCAGTGACTCCAGATTTGGACCCCACACCTTGTGTGGCTCCTCTGTGCTAAAGAAACCACAAGGATGGCTGCGTGTCTTTCCCGAAGAGTTAGGTTGGGACAGAGCCACTGTGAGAACCCGAGTGACAGAGATGGCATGCTGCCTGCTGGCATCCCACGTCTCACAGATGACCCCGCTCAGCCCATGCCTTCCACGACATCGCGGGTGCTTGTCCCTCTCTCCACCCCGCCCTACCACCAGGACAGAGGCCGAGGCCACAGCAGAAGCCACCAGCGGGGCAGAAGCAGGTGGGTGCCGAACCCGAGGCCCCGTCCCCTGGTGCTCCCGCCCTCCCCAGTGGCAGGACAAGGAGCATGCGGTGAAGGGAAAGCCGGCCAGCCCGGGCTCCAGGACCCTTCTGCCACTGATGCTAATAACTCTGTGGTTTTGAGCAAGCCCTCCTGCACGAAATGAGGCCTCAGGCTGGATCGTCTTCCGGCCTAGCTCTGGCCTCCTGCATATATGCCCAAGAAAGGGTGGTCTAGGAAGAAAACCCAAGTCACCACTTTGCCACTTGGTCCTGCCTCCCCTAACCTGTGGCCTGGTGTTAGTCTCCTTCCTCATTCTTGGCACTGGAGCCTGGACTCCCTGCTGTTTCTTTGAAATCATTGGTTCAAGCAGTTTGCGATAACTTATCATGTTTAAAACTCACCGCAAGATCCATAGAAGATACTCAAGAAAATTGGTCAAATTAAATAGAAATCATGGCCGGCACAGTGGCTCATGTTTATAATCGTAGTATGTTGAGAGGCCGAAGTGGGAGGATTGCTTGAACCCAGGAATTCGAGACCAGCCTGGGCAACATAGCGAGACCTCGTCTCTACTAAAAATTTAAAAATTAGGCCGGTCTCGGTGGCTCAGCCTGTAATCCTAGCACTTTGGGAGGCCGAGACAAGTGGATTGCCAGAGCCGGTAGGTTCAAGACCAGCCCGGGCAACTTGATGAGACAGCCTCTCTACAATAGATAAAAAAACAAAACAAAAAAACTAGCCAGGCGTGGCAGCACATATTTGTAGTTCTGGCTACTTGGAAGGCTGAGGCAGAAGGATCGCCGGAGCCCAGCAGGTCGGCACTGGGTGGCCGTGAGCGTGCCACTGCACTCTAGCCTAGGTGACAGAGTGAGACTCCAACTCAAAAAAGAAAAAATTAGTCAGGTGTGATGGTGTGTGCCCGTGGTCCCAGCTACTCAGGAGGCTGAGATAGAAGGAATGCCTGAACCCAGGAGGTTGAGGCTGCAGTGAGCCTTGATTGTGCCAGTGAACTCCAGGCTGGCCAACAGAGTGAGACTCTGACTCAAAAAAAAAAACAACTAAATATATGTATATAAATCGTGTTTTGAGGGATTTTTCTAAAACACGGTTACCTCTTGACGTAAGAGTTTCTTCTTTTTACCTTCCTAGCCTTTTTCTAATATTTGCAATAAACATATGCCATTTCCACAAGAAGAAGAAAGGTGATTTCAAAAGGCAGAAAGGAATCTGATCAGTCACAAAGGACCCCATATTGAATGATTCTGTTGACATGCGACATCCCAAGAGGGAATCCACACAGGGGTTGCCAAGGGCTGGCAGGAGAGGGATGGGGGTGACCACTAGCGGCAGAGAGTTTCTTTAAAGGATGATGAAAATGTTCTCATCTAAAACGGACCGTGGTGGTGGTTACCCAAGTCTGTGAATATACTAAGCACCACTGAATTCTACACTTTAGGAAATGAATCTGGCTGCTCCCTGCCATGGCTCATTTTCACTACCAGTGCTTAAAAATCATGAAATTATGTTTCTTTCATTTTTGAGTTGGAGTCTTACTCTGTCGCCCAGGTTGGAGTGCAGAGACACGCTCACGGCCACTGCAGGCTCAACCTGCTGGGCTCCAACGATCCTTCCGCCTCAGCCTTCCAAGTAGCAGCAACCACAGGATCGCAGCACCATGCCCGGCTAATTTTTTTATTTATTGTAGAGACGAGGTCTTGCCATGTTGCCCAGGCTGGCCTCGAACCCATGGGCTCAGGCAATCCTCTCTCCTTCGCCTCCCAAAGTGCTGGGATTACAAGCATGAGCCACTGCGCCTGGCTAAATTATGTTTTTTTTAATTTGAAAAAAACAAAACAAAACAAAAACATAGGCAAGATATTTCTCTGATCAAAATTTTTAAATGGTCATGTCACTCAGAGCAAAGCCTGCGAAATCGAAGCCCACCACCTCTCTGATCACCGTTCTCTCCCTCCCGCATTCCACCCCAGCCCACCAGCCTCCTCACTGGGCCTCGGACAGGCCCCCTGCTCTTTTTCCATGAACTTTGCTGTCCCCCTGCTGGGAATGCTCTTCCTCTGAGATCCAGCCACGCTCCTTCCCCTGCTTTGAGCCTTTGCTCAGACATTGCCATCTCCTTCTCTGCACCCCAGCATTCCCATCCCTCTCCCCTGCTTCACTTCCAACCCCTCCGTGCCTCACCAGTGGACACACCCCGTGCTTTACTGTTCACCTGCAACACACCACCCTTCCTCAGAATGTAGTGTACAGTATATGCTCTGTTTTGTGTCTAGAGCAGTGCCTGGCACACGATAGGCCTGCAATCACTGGTTGAATCCATAAATGAATTCCATCAACAACTGGCATTTGTAGAGAGTCATGAAGGAGTGTATGAAACACTCGATTCCTTGCCCTGCCCATCCACTCTTCCTCGTGGCCCAGGGGGGTATCCTCCCCATTTCACAGAGGGGGACCCTGAGGCTAGGGGTGAGGCTGGAACTCAAACTCACATCCATCGGCTTCACAACAGTCCTCCTTCCATGACCGCACTGCCCAGGAGGGAGGTCCCAGGTAGGCACTGCCCAGCTGCCGGGGCACGCCTCTCCCCCTACGCCCACCTCCGAGTGAACTCACCACCTCCGTTTTTGTAGCAGAGATAGGGAAACCTCCAGACATTGCCCAGCCCGATGATCTCCCCGGCCACTGACAGCACAAACTCCATCTTGTTGGTCCATTGGCCCCGATCCTTTACCTGGTCCGCGCCTTCCCGGTCCACCTTCTCGCCCTCTTCGGGGACCCAGGAGACCGCGGGAGGCCCATGGTCGTGGACTGGCGCTTTCCCATCCACAGCCATGTGGTGGATTGGGAGACCCCGCGGGCGGGCAGGATGGCGAGAGGCAAAGCCTGCTGGGAGAAGAAGGAACGAGCTGTCGACCCAATGTGTGCCCCGCCCTTCCTGCTTCCCCTTCTTCGATGCGTGTTGTTGTTGTTGCTTCGAGTCGGAGTCTCACTCTGTTGCCCAGGCTGGAGTGCAGGAGCATGCTCACAGCTCACTGCAGCCCCCACCTCCTGGGCTCAGGTGATTCTCCTGGGACCATAGGCGTGCACCCCCTTGCCTGGCTAATTTTTAAATTTTTTATCGAGTCGAGGTCTCACTATGTTGCCCAGCTAGTCTGGAACTGCTGGGCTCAAGCAGTCCTCTTGCCTCAGCCTCCCAAAGTGCTGGGATGACAGGTGTGAGCCGCCGCACCCGACCCCCATCCTAATCTTTGCTGTTGGGACATCCGTTTCTTCCCAAACTCTCCATGGAGTGGACGCCAAAGGTGACGCTTTGTTCTCAGGACTCTCAGAGCCAATCTTAGTTTGCTCAGTTTGCAGATGAGACAATCCAGGCCTCGAGGTGACTTGCCCCAGACCCTGAGGATGAAAACCCAGATGACTGGCCCATCTGCCCACGGCCTGGGGAGCCGGTGAGTGGCCCAGCCTCGCCTCCAGCCTCCAGGGCCAGAAGGGATCAAAGGCTGCCAGGCAGCGAAGGTCAAAGGGCAGGTGTGGCCGGGGTGACTGCACAGTCCTCTCCTAGCCAGTTGTGTGCTCGTCCCTGTGCCAAGCTGATCGATCCCCACGGGGTAAACAGGGGAGCCGGCAGCTCTGCGTGTCTGATTGGGAGGGAAGCCGAAGGTGGGGCCTCTGAGCAAGGCCAGATCACCCCCAGGGCGGCCACCGGGGCAAGCAGAGGCTTTCAAGGAAAGCCCAGGGCCTTTTCTCTCTGCTGCACCTCTGTCCTGAGAAAAGCCGGGGGACCTGGGGCCAGAAGGGGTCCGTCACACCAGCCGTGGTCACCTGGGTGGCAGTCATCGGCGGATGGCTTCCAAGATGACCCAACGACCGGCCCCCGGAGGGGGAAGCCCAGTGGTGTCTGCCTGTCATGCAGGTCACTGCCCTCTCCTCTTCCCTGCCTGCCTAAAGAGCCCGAGCTCCCTGGATGTCCAGAGAAATGATGTGGGCACTCTCCATTTGACTTCCCGTTTCTCAATTGCCAGGAAATAAATCCGGCAGCGTCAGGGGCATCTCCAGTCTATGCTGGTCTTCACCTCCCTCCTCCCCCCGACGATCGCCTGAGGCCCCCTCTGTCTCTGTTTCCAGGGGAATGCTGGGAGGCGGCGTCCCAGACTGCAGAGGACACACCATCCCACCGCCCCTCCCCTCTGGGAGCCTTGGGGGAGCCAAAGTGACCAGGGCGACCAAGTGCTGCGTGCTCCTGCGCGCCTCTGGAGAAACACAAGGGATTCTTTTTATGAAGGAAGAGCTGGTGTTTATTTGCTGGTACTTTTAACCCAGGCAACAGCCCAAGCCCAAGTCAGAAAGGCGTGGGCAGGAGCCATCCGAGGTTATGGAAATTTTCGAAGGTGACTTGGAGGGTGCAGGTTATCCCAGGAATAGGAAAGCATGTCAGGGTGAAATTCTGGCTTTGAGACCTACTCAGAGGCTTCCATTGCAAGCTCAGCTCAGGAGGGCAGATGGGAAAGTGCCCGGTGGAAGCTGAAAGCCTAAGTCTCTGACATAAGGAGGCGGAGGAAGGGAAGGAAAGAGAGCTTCCAGACTTGGAGTACGGGGCCAGGCCCACAGGACCTTCCAGAACCAGAGCCTGAGGTTGAAAGAACAGGGGAGTTTGGCCTCAGGGGAGAAGCAGGTAATGTGCAACCTCAGACATGGATGTTGCACCCTGGACTGGCACACCCCGAGAAATGGCCCTCGACTCGTTCTCAGACACACAGCGAATGAATGAATGAACTTGAAAGCGTTGATGGAAAAGCAGCAGACAGGAAGTCCAGGTTGTGGTTCGACCTCGCTGTTGATAATAATAGTGGTAATAGAGGCTGGGCGTGGTGGCTCAAGCCTATCATCCCAGCACTTTGGGAGGCCGAGGTGAGAGGATTGCCTGAGCCCACGGGTTCGAGACCAGCCCGGGCAACTTGGCAAGACTTCATCTCTACAATAAATCAAAAAACTAGCCGGGCGTGATAGCGCACACCTATAGTTCCAACTACTTGGAAGGCCGAGGCGGAAGGATTACCAGAGCCCAGCAGGTCGACGCTGGGGTGGCCGTGAGCACTCTAGCCTGGGCGACAGAGTGAGACGCCAACTCAAATAATAATCATAATAACAGTGATAATATAGGCGAACATTTGAGCAAACATGGCTCTAAGAATAGACGCTCTTTGTACACGTATTAAATGCTATCCTCGTTACAGTCCTTGAAGTAGGTATTACTATTAACTCTGTTTTGCGAACGGGGAAGTACAGCGCCCAGAGATCAGCAGGTGCTCAGTGAAACGATTTTGAACGCTTGAATGAACTTACCAAGGCAATCGGTGGCGGAGCTGGGCTCTAACCTTGGGCCAATCGCACCTCCTCTCTGAGCTTTAAATCTCCCTGGAAGAGAGAACGACCTCTGCTCAAAGGGCTATCGGGAGCGTGGGGGGATAAAAATGAGGCCCACCAAAGAGAAGGGGAAATCACTGTCTTCCCTTGCCAAGATGCAAGGTTGCTCAGCACAGGTCAGGTCCCGGGCGCAAGGGTCCCCAAGACAGTGGTCGGGAGAAGCGCCTTGCTGTTCTCGGGCCAGGGGTAGCTCTTTCAGGACCCAGGGGGTTGCAAGGGTTGGAGTGGAGCAGACTTGCTGGGGAAAAAGAATACGGGAAGGGAAAACCAGAGGAGAGCAGAGACCTGGGCTTGGGTTGTACCAGAAGTGGGGGAGGGAGTACAAGAGAACGTGAACCGATGCACTGACATGGACGCATTTTTTAAAAACTAAAATAGCATAGGAAGGTTATCAGGAAGAGCATAACGTAGGGGTAAGAATGAAAAACTGGACCGGCAGAATGAAAGCAAGAGCCAGTGAAAAGAAAAAGCTGGCTCAGAGCCATGGTAAGTCAAGGGGAAACAGACTGAAACTGCAGCAAGAGAGACTTAAGTTAGACTCGGGGAAGAAATGTCTTGGAGGACATTAGGTCAAAAGAAGGTGCACTGAGCTCTCCTTTTGAGGTTGCTTTGAAAAGTCAAACGGACATCACATCCCACCCTACGCCCACCTCCGGCTGGGGGTCCTTTAGTGACAGTGCTCTCCGCAGTCGGGTGGCCTCCCGAAGGTCCGCCCGGCCCTGCCACCTCTCCAGCTCCTAGCGTCCCCTCGGCAGGCCCGCCCGCCTTGCTCACTCTACTTCGGTGCCCTCCAGTGGCACGGATACCGATGCCCACAGGCGCTGCCCACGGAGGAGATCTGCGAGGCTGGGAAGCGAACACAGGTCAGCCCTGTGTTTGGGAGCCGGACATGTAGACAGGCCTGGCCAGGGTCCGGTCGCGGAGCAGACGGGTCCAGAAAAGGCCGCTGCCCACGGGCGGCCGGGGTCCCGGCTTGGCCCGCCTTGCGCCCCCCTCCAGCGGGGGAACAGCCCATGCCCTGGACGTGGGGGACGGCAGGCGCCAGCGGCAGCCCACACCCACATACCAGCACCCGTTCTGAACACACGCCGGTGCCGTTCCCCGTCACGTCCCCTTGCACACACATACCTGTGTGCATGGCACCAAAACCTGGCTGCGTCTGCGGGCCTTCACACCCCGTGGGCCGCCTGGCCCGGCGGGTGGCCCCCGGTGCCTGCCCTCGGCCCCCTCGGGCCCCTCTAGGAGCACGCCCATGCCTCCCCCCGCCCAGAGCCAAGGCTGTGTCCTCCCTCGGGGGGGATGCTTGGCTTTCGCCGCCCGTGAGGGGCGGTGGGGGAGGGCAGGAGCCCCTCGCCTGTGATTGCTCAGGGCAATTCCTGCAGCTCACGGGCCTGCAGGAATACCCCGAGGTCTCTCCTGTCCACTCTTCCCTCCCACCTCGCTGGACACTGTCTGCTTCCCCTCCCCCTCAGTCAGGTGACCACCCCTTCGTGCACCCACGGCCCGAGGCTGGCTCTCCGTCTGTGGACTGTCCCGATCCTCCCACTCTGAGGGGGAGGGGGCGCTGGGGTGGCAGCCCCTGTCCTGAGACTCCAGAACATCAGACTTCCGCTCGCCTCAGTTTACCACCTCCTCTGCTTCCCACCGCAGACCGCACAGGGCCTGGCCCCCAGGGCTCCCCGCCCCCCGCCCCTCCGAGGAAGACCCGGCCGGTCCCTCCACTGCCCACTCACCTTTGTCTCCAGTCCCGGTTCCCGTGGTCAGCTCCGGGCAGGCATCGGGTCTCCAGAGAGTCCCAGGGAAGCCACCTATGAGAAGGCCACGAGAGACAGGACCTGAGAGGGAGGCTGTCCTCCACCCTCACCCCCTCTCCAGTTCTTGCCAGCGCAGAGGCCCATCCGACTTGTCCAGGGACTCCCAGACAGAGGCGGCTGTGTGCGTGCGTGCGTGTGTGCGCGCGCGTGTGTGTGTGTGTTGAGACGTGAAGGGACAGAGAACTATCACAGCAACAGGAGGGACCGAGGCCAAAAGCTGGTGAACCAAGATTACAACATCCAGTCTCAGGAAGTCAAGTCCTCTGTCCCCAGCGCCCCCACCCCCATCCTGCTTCCCCTGCGGCCCCCGCCCTCCAGACGGGTGCCGTCCCTGGGGGCCTGGTCCCGAGAGGCCCCCTCCAGGGCCGAGCTGAGCTGCGCCCCCCGGGGCAGGGGCAGGGGCTCAGAGACTCACCAGCCGACCTCGCCTCCCCTCCTCCCCCTTCCCCATGCCGCCTCACCCCTCCGGGCACCATCTCCTTCTCAGTGGTGGGTGGGGTGGGTGGGGCAGGGCGCAGCCCTCTTACCGGTGCGGAGGGATGGGCGGCTGGCTCCAGGCTGGACTCCCAGGGCTTTGGGAGGGGAGTCGGCCTCTCTGACGAGGGAAGGGAGGGGCGAACCACACGCTGGAGTTTTCCATCAAGTACCTGCCCTCTGTGGCTTCAAGGCCAGGCTCTAGACCTTCACGGCCACTGTCCCTTTCCCTGGGATTTTCCTAGAGAAAACCAGGGCGTACCTCAAGAAGCAGAATCTAGAAAGGACCCAGGCTTGCAGTCAGAAAGACCCGAATTTTGCCGCCCCCTCTAGTATTCCTCAGCCGTGTCAGCTAGGTAAGGGTCGGAGCCTCAGTTTCCCAATCTGTCAAAGGTAGATAGCAATACAATGCCTACTTTGCAGGGTTGCTATGAGGGTCAAAGACCAGGTGGTACACTGCGTAGGACATTCCAGGTGCTTAAGGAGAGTTGTTGATGTCTGCTGCGGGTCCCCTGGAAACAGGGGCCAGCATGGGGACGTGTCTGACCCCAGATAGCACTAATACTGCTCTGGGCACCTCTCGGCACTAAGGCCCCAGGCCGGGATTTGTCTGGAAAAGACTGGCAGCTGTCAGCGGTGAAGGGCGTTTGTAGAGTCGATGCGCCCCGTGCCCTGCGCCCAGCGAGCTTTTCCAGAGCACAGTCCTTGTCGCCGTCCCTGAGCACGACCCCGGGGTGAGGGGTCCAGTGCCGTGCCCCCACCCTTCATTTCGAATAGCTGGCACCTCCTTCAAGACAAAGAAGATGCTTCTTCGGTTCCAGGGGGTCTGGAGGGGGAGGAAGTTGCGGGAAGGAAGGGAAATTTCCCTCTCACATGTGCTTCCTCTTTGTATTCGAGAACTTCCCGGCAGGCATGGGCTGTGAAGTGATCAGTCCAGTCTGTAGTTTTCCATCAAGCACCCCACTCCTCTCGGGGCCCCCTTCAGCAGTCCTAGTGGCTTCCCCAGCATGAGAAAACCAGTCTCAGTTCTCAGCCTCCCTGCCTCTGCAAAACCAGAAACTGGACTGGGGGCCAGCTCTGGTACAGCAGAACGAGCCCAGCCAGAACCTATCCTCTGGTTATCCCAGTGTGCAAGTGTGACCTGTCTCTGCGTGTCACATCTACCTTGGGTTGACTGTAGAGCTTATTGCAGATGGAATGACCTGGCCGCAGTTATTCGGGAACAAACGTGAGCCTCTCCACAAAGGGAAGGAAGAGGAAAGAGAATCAGACCGGGCGATTCATTCATTCATGTTCAATTCATTCATTCATTCAAAAGGTTTATTTAGCACCTGCAGCGTGGGTGTGGGGATGACGTGATGAACAGCAGGGGTCCAGAAGTCCTGTCACCTCTCCTGTGCCTTGGCAGAGAATGGCTGCTTTGGTTGACCTGGCCCAAGGAGTGGGGTTTGACTTTCCCCCAAAAGAGCTGCCCAATCCCTCCCTGTCTTTATCTGACTGCCTCTAACCTTAGTCCTGCCATCTTTTTTTTTTTGAGTTGGAGTCTCACTCTGTCACCCAGACTGGAGTGCAGTGGCCGTCCCGGCCACCGCAGCCTAGACCTGCTGGGCTTCGGCGATCCTTCCGCCTCAGCCTTCCGAGTAGCTGGAACTACAGACGTGCGCTACCACGCCCGGATAAGTTTTGATTTATTGTAGAGACGAGGTCTCGCCAAGTTGGGTCTCGAACCTGCGGGCTTAGGCAATCCATTCACCTTGGCCTCCCAAAGCACTGGGATGACAGGCTGAGCCACCGAACCCGGCCGTCCTGCCATCTTAAGATCGAGCCCTCCCTTGTACAAATCCTCACCCGTCTCCCCAGTTCCCAATACCCACTAGTGTTCAGACCAGTTGGTAAAATTCTGGAGGCCAGAGACCCCCATCTTTGCAAAAGATAAGGATCCCGAAAGATCTAGCTAAGATTGGGCTGTTTTCATACTGGGAAGAGTCCAGAGTCAGGATGAAATATGGTTAAATGGATCCATTGTCTTATATCAGTAAGAACCATTGGACCCCATTGAATGTCCTTCTCTCCATCCTCACTTCAACTTCATGCCTGCTTTGAGAGGACCTGGAATGGGACCTCTTTCCTGAGCATGTAACTCACACAAGGAGTTTTATACGCTGCCTCATTTGATCCCCTTAAGAACCTTGAAACGTAGCCATTGTGCCCCATTTTGAAGACGAGAAAACTGTCATGAATAGCAAGCAGCTAAATGCTTTGTCTCAAGGCCATGCACTAGAAAATGATGGAGCTGGGATTTGAACCTGGGCCTCTTGGCTCCAAAAGCCTATGCTCGTTCCACTGTAACGTGTTTTCCAGACTGTGAATCTCTAAAGGGCAGAGTCTCGTTTCATAATTCTTTTGTTTTTGCTTCTAGCGTTCAATACGCGGCTGTCTCAGAGCAGGCACTCCGTATTTACTGGACGGACGGAGGGACGGACGGAGGGACGGACAGATGGACGGACGGGTGACGGGTGGATGAATGAATGGATGGATGGATTGGTGGGTTGATGGGTAGATGAATGACGGATGGATGGATTGGCGGGCGGGCGGGCGGACGCACCTTGAAGGGGAAAATGACCCCCGTCTTCCCTTTTCTAGGAAGACATTGTTTTCCCAGAACCAGAAGACAGAGAGGGGATTGGAGGACTCACATTCTGCTTTTCTTGGACACTGATGCCATGCTGAACGTCATCCTACAGGATGCAGGATTGCTTTAGAGTTACCCTTCCCTCACATCCTAGCCAGATGCTTAGTTCCATAAACGTGGAAACTCTTTCCCGGGGCCCAGTGCAACCTAAGGTCTGGGGCTGGGAGAACTAGGGGACAGGGAGGACAGCTCTGAACTCTTCCTGGGCTTTTCGGTTACACGGACAGCTCGGTGAAGCGGAGATGGAGTGATGGGCGATAGAATGGATTTGCTTGAAAGTGTCCCCAGGGCAGCTGTCCCTGCAGCTGCCGCTTGACTCTGGCAACGCTGTGATGCAGGTAGCATTACTCCCATTTTAGGGAGGAGAAAACCAAGAACCAGACAGGTTCCCTTGCCCAAGGTCACACAGTTAGCAAGTGAATGTGCCAGGGTGCAAGCCAGGTCTGCACACCTCTGTAGATAGTGTGCTTGGCTGACTGCAGTGTTTCTGAGTTTGTGCACATTTATCTGGGGATGGAAGGGACAGTGTGTGCCCGCACATGTGTGGATCTGAGACCTGGGGACCCATGTGGGCAAGGTCTGAGGTCCTGGGCAGCCTGGTGGGTTCAGTGCCCAGCAAGTAGCTTACCTGGGCCCTGGGCTGCGCTGGTAACTCTGGCTATCTGAGCTTCTGCTCCCCTTCCCCTTCAGTTAGTGCTTGCCCACCCCCCTCCCCACCTGCCTGTCTTCTCCAACAGGTGTGGCCTCCAGGTGAGAAAGGGCTCCCCTTCCTTTCCTGTCTTCTTCCTCTGGGATCTGCCACCCACCCTTCCAGGCAGGGAGACCAGCTGGGACTCACACAGCCGCCTCCACCACCACCACCAGCCATTCAGCCCGTTCAAAAGCCAGGCCTAGGCTGGGCTCGGTGGCTCACCCTGTCATCCCAGCGCTTTGGGAGGCCGAGGTGAGTGGACGGCCTGAGCCCGCGGGTTCAAGACCCGCCTGGGCAGCGAGACCTCATCTCTACAATAAATCAAAAAATCAGCCGGGCGTGGTAGCACGTGCCTGTAGTTCCAGCTCGGAAGGCTGAGGCGGAAGGATCGCCGGAGCCCAGCAGGTCGAGGCTGCGGTGGGCGGGAGCGGCCGCTGCACTCCAGTCTGGGCAATGGAGTGAGACTCCAACTCAAAAAAAAAAGCCAGGCCTAGTCCTGTCCTGCTGTTTTCCCCCAGCCCTGACCCGAGCCAGCAGCATTCTCACAACCCCTGTCAGCCCTCCCTCCGGTGGGGGGTCTGCTAGGGCATCTCTCCCTCCTGTGCTTCCCAGCTGGTTTGATGACCTCACACCACTTGGCACCAAGTGACTGAAAATGCCCTCACACCCACCCATGACTTCATTTGAACCCCACAGCCGTCGGGGTGCGTGATATTATCTCCATCTGAAAAACAACGAGCCTGAATTCCAAGTAACTTCCAGCCACACAGCCAGGCGGAGGCCAGGAGGTCTTGCTGTCTTTCGCACTGTCTTCCACCAGGCGTGGAAGTAGGACTCAGGTCACCATTAGCAAACTGCCCCCATTCCTTCCCGGGCTTGGCAGAGTCTGGCACCTTAGTCAGACGGGTGTCTAGAGGGGCAGATGTCTCGCCCTAGAATCGCCTACCCAGACCGCCCAACCTACGGCACGAGGAGCCCTCCCTCCCACAGACCCGTCATTCTTTCTCACAGCTCTTTGCTCTTTCCTTTCGTGGCGTGGGTCGCGGTTTGTTGTTTAAAAACTTGTATCTGTGTTTGCACGTGAGTCGTGAGCGTAGCCCGGCACTGCGCCGTCGTTGTTCTGTCATGGCGTTGATGGATGGCGTGGCCAGGCATGGGAGCTGGAGGCTGGCACGCTTCTGGAGCGGGTTCACTGATCCCGCCTTAGGACTGGAGTTGAGACGGGCATCCCTGGGGAATGCCCATCCCGTCACTCTGCAGGAAGCAGCTGCCAAGGCCAACACACAGTAGGGCTGCTACCTTTCATTTTCGCAAACCCTACAAACACAAAAAGTTGGCCGGGTGTGGTGACTCATGCCTGTGATCCCAGCACTTTGGGAGGCCGAGATGAGAGGATTACCTGAGCTCCGGAGTTCGAGACCGGTCTGGGTAACATGGAAGACCTCGTCTCTACAATAAATCAAAAAATCAACCGGGCGTGGGGGTGCACGCCTATAGTCTCAGCTACTTGGAGGACTGGGACAGGAGGATCATCTGAGCCCAGCAGGTCGAGGCCGCAGTGGCCAAGATCGTACCACTGCGCTCCAGCCTGGGCAACAGAGTGAGACTCCAACTCAAAAAAACAAATCAAAAATTGAAGACTGGCAAAGATTTCAGTGCATTTTCTCACTGATGGACGGGTAAAAAGCCAGGAAAATCACCCAAGGACCCTGCAGGCGCTTGGACTGCTCTAAGCATCGCGGGACACTCACCGGAGCAGCGCCCAAGATCCATCTGAATGGAGGCAGAGACACAGGCAGACACAATCTGCTCACAGCAGGGAGAAGCATAGCTGCCTGTGTTCAGCCACTTGCAAAACCACACACCTAGCAACAGCCAGAAATACGGAGGCCCCGGCTCCATGCCCCCCGCTCGGAGATAAGGCCGCGAAGACACACCTGCGGCACCCACCGGGGCCAAGGCCATGCCCCCGACCCCAAGGCGGGAGAGACTCTGGCTTCCACCCGGGTCCCCTTTGCAGCCCCACAAGATCATTCCGGCAGCTCCGGCCCTGGCAACGGGGCTGTGGTCATGGCGGTGCCACCCCCTCGTGGCCACGTCTGGTGGCGACAGTGTCTGGAGTTTCGGAAGAGTGGGGTGGTCCTGAGGAAGGAGGGTCCCTCTGCTGGCTGAGCCGGGCAGCTCCCGCTGGGGCCAAGGCTCCCCGCCCTGTCGCCTCAGACCGGCACAGTCCCCTCTCTCCCGTGCACCCAACACCAGGCCCCGGGGGGCACGCACGGACCTGGCTTTGGCAAGTGCGGACAGGCAAGGACACAACCGGGTCGAGTGGCCGGAAGAAGGTGCCCCCAGTCTTTCCTCTTCCCTTCCCTTAGTTCGGGCTCAGTCTCCTTCATCCTTCCTACAATTTCCCTCCTCCTCCTCTAATTTTGGCAGAGCGGAGGTCTCACTGTGTTGCCCAGGCTGGTCTCAAATGCCTGGCCTCAAGCTATCCTCCCGCCTCAGCCTCCCAAAGTGCTGGGATGACAGGCGTGAGCCGCCATGCGGGGCCAGCTTCCCTTCGTATTCGCGGGGTGGAGGGTGGGGAATCTGGGCGGAAATGGGGACAGAAGTGACAGCCTCCTCTGGTCCAGGTGTCTGACGACGGGGAGGGGGGAGGGCTCAACCTGGCCCCACCCTCCCTCCACAGCCATCACCTCCGCTGTGTGAAACCGACAAACCGCTGGCAGTCAGTGGGAAGAATATGAGGATTTAATGCACGGAGGGAAGGGGGCGCCCCAGGCCGACCGCGATCTCACCGCCACCCACCAGCCCTCGCCCAGCTTCCCGGCCTCTGTTTCAAAGCGATGCCCTGGACACCAGCACGCCACGGCGGCTCAGGCCGCCCCGGGGCGGGGAGGCTGCGGCGGGAGGCCCCCAGCTCGGAAGGCAGGTTCCAGAGGAGCCCCTCTTGTCTAATCCGCCCCGTCCGGGGGGCGGAGCAGCAGCGGGGGGCGCTGCCGCCCTGTGCCCTCTGCCGCGTCCCCACAGCCGGGCTCACGGGCACCATCCCGGGCCTCTCCCCTAGCAGTGAGACTCGAGCTCTGTGGGTCTGAGCAGTGACGTCCTGGGGCTGGCAGGAGTGGGCGGTGCTGCTTGGCTCCGCTGAGGCAGGTCCTCAGCTGGGCACACGAGCTGGCGGAGTCTCTGCGAGGGGAGGGGAGGGGCCCGTCGCGTGACGCCCTGGGGGCGGGCCTGCCAACTTCCCCCCTCACTCCCGTCCCCCCCACAAACCTGCCCTCCTTGACATCCCAGCCTGTGTCCTGGGGTCACCCGGTCTCTCCCTGGACTCTCTCCATCCCTCCCTGGATGCCTGGCCAGGCTCACCGTCCCCGGGGTACCAGCTTCTCCCCCTCCGATGGCCTCCTCCCTGCTGACTCCCCACCTCTCGGAAGGAGCCCTTGAGGGTGCCGAGTTTGTAGACGCTCCAGGCGGGGATGCAGACCATCGAGGACAGCGCCAGGAGCCAGCCCAGGGCGTCCCCCCACCAAGGGTACGTGTACTTCTTGTTGTAGGTCAGCGGAGTGTACTTGATCAGGGAGAAGAGGAAGGTGGCCTGGGAAGGAGCCGTGGAGAGAGGGGCTGGGGTGGGCGGAGATGGCGCTCGAAGCCAGCATTTGCCTCTGGTGCGTCGGGGCCAGTTAGCCGCCAGTCCCGTCACAGTCTGCTCAAAAGACCCCCACCCTGCCACGCCCCTGTCGTATTTCCAGAGCACATGCCCTGCCACGCCAGGGCTCCTGTGTCCCTGGGCACTTCTGTTTTGTTTTTCGTGTCAGATTCTCACTCTGTCGCCCAGGCTGGAGTGCAGGGGCACGCTCCCGGCCACCGCAGCCTCGACCTGCCGGGCTCCGGAGATCCTTCCGCCTCAGCCTTCCAAGGAGCTGGAACTACAGGCGCGAGCCACCATGCCCGGCTCAGTTTTTGATTGATTGTAGGGACGAGGTCTTGCCATGTTGCCCCGGCTGGTCTCCAACCCCTGGGCTCAGGCAATCCTCCCGCCTCTACCTCCCAAAGTGCTGGGATGACAGACGTGAGCCACCACGCCCGACGACCCCTGGGCACTCTACACGTGGTTGGCTCCCAATTGGGAAGTGAGCGTGTGCCTGCTGGGTCCTTGAAGGTGTGGACCATGAGTTTGGGGGTAGGGATCATGCCTCCTCCCTGCCCCTCCTCCTCCCCGTTCCACAGTCACATCCTGGACACAGATAGAGCCAGAAGAAGCAGTGCCCTGTGCCTGGGTTCGAATCCTAGCTCTCTGCAACTTCCTAGCTTGGGAGACTTGCTTATCTCCTTAACCCCAGCTTCGTCTGTCGAGTGTCATGGCAGCACTTACTCAACAGGTTCCTGAGAGGATTCGATGAGTTAATACGCGGAAGTGTTCCGTGACTGAGGCCAGTATGTGGTTATTGATGCTGGGTATTAATATAGTGTGCGGATGTGTATATAATATAGTATGTATTCATAACATTATGTGGACAATACTGTGGTTATTAGTATTATCACGAACAGCCCAATGCGCTTGGGTATCAGTCCTGCCTGCAATGTGAGACTCACACTATGCTGTGAGTCTCACGACGCAGAGCTCTGGGCCTCAGTTTATCCTTCTGTGAAATGGGAAGGAGGACTCTACCTGGTTGTTGTTTTCTAGAATCCAACAGGAAGATGAAGGAAAATCTAAGAAGACTTTCACTTCCTTGGGAGAAGTCCATCTGGAGCTAGCGGTCTCTCTACCCCGAGGTGCCACCCTCTTTCCCTCCCTTGGTCTGGCTGTATCCCTTGAGGGTTCTCTTACTGTGCACACGGCTGGAGTGAGGAAAAGCCAACAGTATCTGATAAGAGGCCACGGCCTGTAGCCAATCATGTCTTCAATGTTGTCATAGAAGCGCCGGGCTCCTACCATGGAGAAAAGAAGGTGGGGGAGAGGCCATTCTTCAGTGTCCAGAGCATTGGGGGGGGCCACACTCAGACCAGGGTGAGTATAAGACGTCATGGTTGTCTTTCCAAAGAGCTGCTGGGAACAGCTCCTTCCTGGAACCCATAGGCGCAAACAGCAGCAGGCAGGGCTCGGCTTAGGGAAGGGCGGTCACTTCCTGATTATCAAGGTTGTTAAGAGCTGAAAAGGCTTGGATATGAGCCCGGCTGAGGTGGTCTGCGCGTAGCTATAACCAGCACCGTGGGCAGGGCTCTCCTGGAGGGAGAGCAGTCTAGAATTCCCGCGACTTTTGAGGCTGAGGCGAGAAGCCATCCCCTGGAATGAAGGTGAGTGGTGGAGGTCTCTCTTCTGTCTAAGGGCCCAGGGGTGGAGGAGAGTCCTGGGACCCAGGGGAGGAGTCACTCACCGTAAACCCAAGCCACACAGAGGGACTCAAAGATGGCCACAAACAGGAGACACATGCCACTCGCCGCATAGTAGTCGAAGAGCTGAAACACGTACATGCCACCCTGCACGGGAGGAGATGTTTTCTTTTCTTTTACTTATTTTATGTTTTTGAGCTGGGGAGTCTCACTTTGTCGCCCAGGCTGGAGTGCGGTGGCACGATCATGGCTCACCGCAGCCTTGACCCGCTGGGCTCAGGCGATCCTTCCGCCCCAGCCTTCCAAGTAGCTGGAACTACAGGCATGTGCCACCACACCCAGCTAATTTGTTAAATTTATTGTGGAGATGAGGCCCTGCCATGTTACCTAGGCTGGTCTCGAACTCTTAGGCTCAGGCAATCCTTTCGCCTCAGCCGCCCAAAGTGTGGGGATTACAGGCGTGAGCCACAGTGTCTGGCCAGAGTCGGTTATTTTAAAAAGAACTTTATCCAGAGGAAACAGATTCACCCCTGGGGTCCCTGTGTCCTTCAGTCTCATACCGTCAGGGTGCAGAGGAGAGCTACTGAGGCTCACAGCAGACAGATCATAAAAGAGAATGTAATTTGTCATCTGTGAAGTATGAAGCAGCTATGAGGCAATAATTACTTTTATTATGGTTTTGGGGTGGAAGATAGGTGAAGTCAGAAGGCCATTGTTAGATGATCCTTGAAAACATTTAGGGATTGACCCCAGGTCCCAAGCCATTGTGTGTACTCTCTGGGGAAGAATCAAGAAAGGCGCCTTGGGAGGCCGAGGTGAGTGGATTGCCTGAGCCTGCGGGTTCGAGACCCTCCTGGGCAACTTGGTGAGACCTCATCTCTACAATAAGTCAAAAATTAGCCGGGCATGGGAGCGCGCGCCTGTAGTTCCGGCTACTTGGAAGGCCGAGGCAGCAGGATCGCCGGAGCCCAGCAGGTCGAGGATGCGGTGGCCGGGAGCGGCCACTGCCCTCCAGTCTGGGCAACAGAGTGAGACTCCAACTCAAAAAAAAAGAAAAGAAAAGAAAGGCTAAGGCCGAAGGATCGCCTGAGTCCAATGGGTCGAGGCTGCGCTGGCCGGGAGCGGCCACTGCCCTCCAGTCTGGGCAACGGAGTAAGATTCCAACTCAAAAAAAAAAAAGAAAGAAAGAAAGGGGTTGTCACCGGCATGATCAAGCTCCTTCCCTCTCCCTCGAGACATCACGCAGATGTCACCCAGCCCCGAGGTGCCTTTTCTCCCTTTGAGGCTTGTGCATAGAACTTGGTCCAGCTGCCTGGGAAGCCGCAGGGTATTGCTGGAGGGGCCGTTTTTCCCAGCCCAGGACTTCTCAACCATCTCTTCCACACCTCGCTTACAGTGGAGCCAAATGACATCCCTGAGGGGGGTGGCTGGCGCCCCGAAGGCCAGAAGAGGAACTTGCCTGCTTTGTCCTTTTTTTGGGGGGGGGTGGAGGGAGGGAGTGCCAGCGCCCTGAATCGCCCAAGGCCCGCCCGTGACCCGAAGCCAACTGCGACCCGAAGCCAACCACGACATTGCCTGGACACAGGCAGCGGCTGCCCCCGGCTTGTCTCCCGCCCCAGCGCGTCCCCTCTGGCCTCCCAGGCCCTCACCTCCGTGAGCATGACCAGTCCCACGAGGAAGGAGACGACGGACACGCCGAGGATGAGGACCTCCCTCCGGTTCTTCTTGCGGAACACGCGGGGGTACATGTCCACCAGCGCTGTCACCAGGCTTTCTACGCACACAAACTGGGTGAGAGGGCAAAAGGATTGGAGGGAAGGAGTGCGCCCAAGACCGGCCCCGGCCGCCCACCAGCTCCGGCTCCTGAGCTCAGCCCCGCCAGCCTGGCTGTCGCAAGTCCCCAGAGCCCCTAACCTGGCGGGGTGAGGTCTGAACCCACCCTGCAGGCTCTTCCGGGTCCCCGGATGGGCCTCCGCTTCTGACATTCACCCGGGCCCCTCCTCTTTGAAGGCCCCTTGGGACCTCGACCTCGACCGCCTGCCCATGGCGCCCCCTCCCCAGCCCGCAGCCCCGTCATCTCTCAGGCTCCCGCAGCCGCCTCTCGGTACCTGGCTGTCCAGTCCCAGGAGAACAACCATGAAGAAGAAACAGCAGGCCCACAGAGGAGAGAAGGGGAGCATCACCACGGCCCGGGGGTAGGCAATGAACGCGAGGCCGGGGCCTGCAGCAAGGAACGGAGAGGGGAGCACCGCCCGGCCACCCGTGGACCCACGGCTCCCGGGGCGGGGGCCGTGCGGTGACAGGGGCCAGAGGAGACTGCGCCCCAAGTGACCCTCACCACCACCATCCGCACCCAGGAGAAGCCGCCCACACCTCTGCCCGGCTTCCAAGGCTCCACAGGCTGTGTGGCAAGAACAGAACCTCAAGGTCCTGGGCGGCCAGGCTTGGAGCCACCAGGGCTCACTCAGGCCAGATAAAGGTGTGGAAGTGACGGGTGTCAGCAAGAGGAGGTGGGGGGCCCTGCGGGAACCGGGCCGTCATGCCCAGCTGAGGGCGAGGCTGTGCTGCGTTGACAAAGGACGTAGGTGGTGCCAAAGAAAATGCCTCGGAGGCCTCCAGTTCGCCTCCCTGCGCCCGGAGCCTTTTCTGTCACCCTACCATGAGCGCACTGGCGCTAATTTCAGAAGGCCACGGACACGCGCGCGCGCGCACACACACACACACGTCCTCGTGGTTAATGAATGTTCCTCTCAGCTGGCTCAGATGGCAAGAACAAATTCACATGCCAGAGCCTAGGTCTGTCCGTAAGAGGCGTCCTCTGGAAAGTGAAGTATCACCATGACCTTGGCCGTTGTTCGTGTCTTCGAGTCCCGGGCCCCCCGTGGACAAGATGGGGATCGTGCTCATTACTGCTTCACAGGCTGACGTCGCATGGTCCAGGCAGAGTGCTCCATGAGGTGCTTGGCACACAGTACGTGCTTAGTGCTTAGTGCTTTTTTTTTTAATTGGAGCCTCACTCTGTCACCTAGGCTAGAGTGCAGTGGCACGCTCACGGCCCCTGCAGCCTCGGCCTGCTGGGCTCAGGGGATCCTTCTGCCTTCTGCCTTTCAAGTAGCTGGAACTACAGGATGCGCCACCATGCATGACTAATTTTTTTATGTATTGTAGAGACAAGGTCCTTCTATGTTGCCTAGGCTGGTCTCAAACCTTTGGACTCAGGTGATCCTCTTGCCTCCACCTCCCAAGTGCTGGGATGACAGGCATGAGCCACTGCGCCTGGCAATGTTATCCTTTTTTTTTTTTGAGTTGGAGTCTCACCCTGTCGCCCAGACTGGAGTGCAGTGGCTGC